TGAGATCTTTTAATTAGCTAACAGAGGTATGTACTCGCTAACTTCACAATCTCACTGTAGCAGCTCTAGAAAAACTGCACCATCAGCAATCTTCAGATATTATATCTCTTTAGACATCATAACGACTCACAAATTTGTTTGATGGAAAGTTTTTTTAACTCAGCAATATGCCATTTATTGTGCCACAATATGTGATGGGAAAATGCTGACATGCTCTACATTTAACAGCCTGTTTGTGCGCTCTGAAGAGTGCTTTTGTTTAGATGTGTATTAATACTTGCATGTTTACGCTCGAAACAACCGAATAAGAGCAGAGAGTTTAGAACACACACACACAATCTATAAAAATATGCTTAGCCTGGGACTGCTCTGTTGATAATGACCTCAGCCTTGGCACCGCACTGGGCCAGACCAGACTGCCGACAGACTGGAGGCTTTTGTGTTGACTCCCTATCTGTAACTCTGTGACCTTTAGGGGGGAAGAAGAAAGCAGAATTGCTTTTTTATTATTTAGAAGGGGTAAGGCTTGCTCATTGTTCTGTATTGGTACAGTTTCCCTGTTGTAAACACACACTGGTTCCCAGGCTTGACATGTTGCAGGACAGCTACAGTCCACCACCCTCTTTGCATCAAGCCCTTAGTGTTCCCACACCGTTCTGTCTGGGTCAGAGCATCAGCACCACCCTCCCAACACAAATACACGTCATCATCAATACCCAAACAGTGCACTTTATGAGTTACAAAATGCCAGCAGTATATAATGGTATATAATATTAGAGAGCGGGACTGCATTTATAAAAAGCGGGAGTAAAGACAGGAAAGAATCCCCAGGGAGGGATCCATGACGTTCCCCAATGGCTCGGGACAGAAGCCATCCTTCAAGTGGGTGACAACAGGGCCCAAACAAACCACTAACCTCATCAGCTTTCTGTTTATAGCCTGAAGCCTGATTCCTGGACGACTCATTACCATCAGAGACCTTTTGAGAGAGCCGTTTTCATACATTGTTGAGAGATTAAAAAGTCCTGGGTCACACAACTACTGACCACCACAGCCCCCACTGCAACACTATGCATAAGCTCATAAAGAACTGATTAAACATATACAAGCAAATGCTTCTTTAACATGTGTTTCATGCTTTTGACACGCATGCAGTGTGTAAAAAATAATATGCGGCTTATTTTTCCAGCTCTTTTTACATCGCAAAACCTGTTAAATAACTAGATATAAGGTATATGTTTGCCTGACATTTTAAACAACTACGGAATGGAAAAGACTTCTAAAAATATATGATATTTTTATTGATTATATGCAGAAATATTGGAATTTTTTTTCTTTTTTTCTTATAAAAAGACTCCAAATGGTTAATTAGTCAGCATGAGAGCTGTTGATGATTTCAGGGGCTGTGTTCCACCTCTTATTTAAAATCAGCAGTATTGGCTGATCTATAAGGGACTGGGCTAACTGCTAAAGATAAAGACACTGAAGAGGTAATCTACTTTCAAAGAGTGTAGCATGCACTACTTACTAAAGAAAATTGTCAAGTATTGTATGTGAAATACTTAATGAAAACACAAAAAGCTATTGCAGCTGTATACATGTTATACACAAGGTAGTAATCTTGGATTTTGAGGTTTAAACTGGTACACATTCTTTACCTTTCCCACTCACAAGTTCCTAAGAGGTAACTATCTCCTACTTAACATTTGGCATCTGTTTACTTCGTTGTAAAAATGAAATACAGGATTGTGGCAGGTTTTCCAATTTATCCTGCAGTCAGTCAATAAAAAAAAAATATTTTGATCTATTTGAGTTTTGATATAACTGGGGATTAAACAAATAAATCAGCCAGGAACTGGAACCAGATATTTTTTTCTATTCTTTCGCTCTGATCAGTGATCAACAGGTAAAATGGTAGAAGGTTGAAAATTCCTTTTCCTCTTAATCAAATGCATTAAAAACACCCATTTTCTGTTTCTAAAACATTTAATCAAGACAGTGTACACATTTCCATTTTTTTGGATAAAATCAATTTACAAGGGTTATCACATAAATGTGGGGATTGTTTTGCATTTGCGTCTTTTCTAAGTAATTGAAAGAATCGATTAAAATCAGAATAGACCCAAGCCGTCATACATACTTTATAAGCGAAACAGATCAATTCCATCTCATCCGATAATGCAGTTTATATGTTGGCAATTGAAAATGTGGCAGCCTATTAGTGAGGTGCTACAACCGTGGTCAGAAAATGTCATTGCAATGTGTGTGCAAAACTTAATTATTGATAATTAATAAAAAAAAAACTAAAATGAAAAAAAAATATTGCAAGCATTGTGTAGTTTAACGAGAAATAAATCTAAAACAAATGCCTAAAAGCTTAAAAAAAATGAAGTTCAAATGACTAAGTCAAAAAAGCAATGGAGGAGGCTCTCACGGCCTTGAATATTTATCCTGAAGGACATGCAGAACATTTGTATTTACGCAGCTTTGGCACCAAACGCAGCACGGGCCAGAGTGCGCTGCTCTGGGACAACAAGCGTCCTTTAGGCCTAATGGGCTCTCCATTTCATTTTCCTGCGCCGGGCCGCTCACCTCACCTCTCAAATGGGCCGATCTATTAAGCGTTTTAATGAGCTCCGCCAGACAAACGCGAGATGCATGGCCCATTGAACAATGCAAAGAGGGGATGAGGCGCTGATGCACGCGACACACGCTCACACAGCCTCATATTGACACACCTTCTGTCCAATCAGAGATGACAGCCCGTTAATATAAAAAATGGACAAGATATTGCTGACAGGAATGTAATGATAGAGACTAATGGGGAAAAAAATGCTGCGTTAAAGTTTTCTGAATGGCTTTATGGAGATTAGTTACCTTTAAATTATTTTTTACAACAAAAAGCTCTTTTTTTTTCTTTTTCTTTTTTTTTTAACACTGGCTAATAATAAAGAGGGGTATTCCTGAGAAACAAATACGCAGACTTTTAATTAGGCCCACCCGGAGTCACCTTAGACCACCTCCCCCCTCCGTCTCCTTCACCGCGGGGTGCGGCCCTGCTCGCCCTGGCATTGCTGCTGGAAGTTTTTCTGCGGCGCACCGCATTACATCTGGACGCGCGGACTAATCAGTCAACCTCCATCTATCACGCTTACGTTTACCACCTCTCCATCACCTTCTCTATTACACTGCACCCCCTCCTTTTTTTTTTCTTTTTTTTTATCACACGACTGTTTTTGTATGGGATAGAAGGCACACACTGAACACATTTACCAGCAGTATACTTCTTATGAGGGGTTTGGGAATTTAAATATTCACCGCTGACACTGTGTAGACCTGGCTGAGGGCCAGGGTGGGCCCGTTTCGTCCTCTTCCTCTTCTTCTGGGCCCAAAACATCCCAGCAGAACTCCTTCTCTTTCTTTAGAAAAAGTTAATCATTACAAATATGAATATCTCCCTACCTTTTTGGCTGTGCATGAATTAAAAACATTTTTAAAAATCAATGCATATTCACATTCAAGAGATCTTCTGTCTTAAATCTGCACTCTGGTCCATCAATATCTAGCAAAAGCCAATAAAGCAGTTTTATTGAAAAAGGAATATTTATAGTAAGAATATTGTATTTGAAATGATAAGATTCTAACCACATGGATTTTTAATACATTCTCTGCTGGCTGCTGCTTTCTGACCTCTGCTTTCTGGATCATTTCAGATAAATGTTGCAGTAAAAACTTTCTTTCAACTATAGAGCTGTAGTGAAATGTTTCCATTTAAGACAAAATAAAAAAAAAGTGCAAGCATGGGTCATCTAAATGTCTGTATTGTCGATGGGGGGAAAGTAATAATTTTTAACAATAAAACGTTTACAAGGTGGATGTTATAGCTGGTTTTGCAACCAGCAACCTTTTGTGGAAAAGAGGTAGAGAAGATGTAGTTTGTGACATGAAAAGGTTATTCAAAGATGATACGAAAACGTTATCTGACTAATTTGTTTAAATCAGATGCACTTGATTGGCAGCAGAACGCATGGACCGCAAAAAAAAAAACATACATTTGAATCTGATTTCTGGGCTAAGACAGAGGCATGTCAACCTGCAATGAAAAAAAATCCCTGTTAGACGCTCGGAGGGCAGAAGTTAAATACCTCACTACAAAAGCAACAGTTCCACACACATGAATGGCAGAGAAACATTTGATTCAGAGAACGTCAGACTGGAATAAAGCACATGCCCATAATTTAGTGTGGCAAATCAATGCATGCGGATCTGCACCGCTCTATGCCCAATATAGTTAATTAGTTGCAAGAACTCAAATCAATTTTAATCTGAAAAAAGCCAGTTTATAACAATTTTCCCGATTAAAAAGTATGATAAGCTTTTTATTTGCTCAGTTATTTTTGTGCATATAAAGTCAAATGAGCTTTACGCGCACACTCAAATCTCTAAATTGGGAATCACTGCCTCCGAACTGAATGATCTTTGTTTCAACTGGAACTTTTTTTTTTTTTTTTTTTCCTTTTTTTTTTGCTTTCCTCCTCAAAATATTTTCCGCTCCTTATTCCTCTCGATTAACCTCCTCTTTCCCAAACTTTCCTCCGGCTAAAGAAAATGTGCGCAGCAGCCAACAGCAGCAGCAGCACTGTGCAGCAGATGCAATAAGCGCTCAGGACCCGGAACTTTTTAACTCTACACTACAGCGCCCACTACATGCAAGCAGCAACTCAAATAGCGGAGCGGACGCCTGGCAGAAAGTTGTTTCATCTCTACTTCAACTTTTTAACTTTTTGCTGCTCTTCTTTTGCAACCTCCCTTTTTTCCCCACTTCGCCACCACATCGTGATGTGTTCTTTCCGACCAGGAGAAAGTCAGGATTACGCGAGTTTTCTTTGGAGATGAAAACGTTACAAAAAGTAGGAATTAATAAGAGCGACAGGTTTTAAGTATATAAAATGTCATGTTTGAGAAGGAAAACAAAAAAGAGAAAGGGATGTTGCACCTACTCGTGGCCAGTTTCCGCGCCCTGCCTTTGGACCTCATGGTGCCAGTCTCTGCGCCGTGGGTTTTGTTTGGATGTTTTCTTGAATCTATTTTTTTTTTCTTTTTTGTCCTCCTTCTTTTTTGATTTTTCTCTGTCTTTCCTTTTCTCTGGGTTTCTCGGTCCAAACGCACTATCTCTCCAGCATTGTCAGTCTGAACACCTTCGCACATGCGCACAGTGCGGAATCTGCCGGGCAGCAAGTGCCAGAAAAAAAAAAAAAGTTTGGGACGATTTACTGCTTTGATGTTGGACTGATGAGATGAAGATGTGGGATGAGAGAATCGTGGACATCCGTTTCTTTTAAAATGTGATTTGGATAGAAAAGGGGCGCATTAAAATAATAAAAAACTGGTTTTGGTTACATCTTTAGTTGCCTGCAGAAACTTTCAATTTGTTCACATCAGCAGTAAAGAGAAAATGATGGATATTGAGGATAATCTTTCAACGCTCCAACCTCAAAATGTTTTTTTTTTATGTTTTAAAGCCATAATAAAGATTTTTAGATTTGTCTCCTAAATTTAACATAGCCCACCCCTTTCCTCTATGAATTCATGTTAATTAAGGCTCCTTTAAAATGACTGATGAAGACTCAATGCTATTAAAAGATTTCATGTATTTTAATTGTGCTCTGCTCACCGAAGCACTAAAAATGAATGAAAACCTTCTACTTCAACTCTTTTTCTTTTCAACTTTACTTTTCCTTCTTTTTCTTCCTCCCTCTCCGTTCTCGCGTTGTGCTGAAAGTTATTGCTGTCTTAAGTGCTTATAGTATTATTGGTCGTTTGAGACCTCTCTGTTGTTCATTACATCTCTTGTCAATTTCCGCTAAACTAAAAAAAAAAAAAAGTTATAAGTTCATGTCAATCAGGAGGGGAACTTTCATTTTAAAAACTCTCGACTCATTTTATTCTTTTTTTATTTTATGAAATAACACATTCAGTAATATTTTACTGTCTTCTTATGCGCTCCCTTCAAAACTCATCTTGATAAAATCAAGGCAGATGTGTTGTTTGTATAAGTTTAAAGAAGGAAATATTTGCAGCCACTGAAAGGATAAAATATGCATCAAAATATGCACAATTTTTTTATGTTTTATTAAATGTAGAGTTGATACGAAATGCGCTATTTTTGTTACCTCTATGGTCCATTATTGATTTGCTTCAGCCTATTTCAATCATAGCTAAATCATTATCTCTTAAAGGTGTGGGCTGGCTAACCAGACGCATCGACTGGAGGTCATTTAGGTAATCGTCAATTATTGGGATCAGCTGGAGATCCTGCTGACGCTGCAGATTCAGCGCGCCTTTAAAAAGTTTCCAAAGGAGTGGCCAGGTGGTAGGGTTTATCCACACATACTTGGGGGGCAATAAAAGCTATAATGTGTATGGATTCCTCTTTAGCATTTAGTCATGAGGGATGCAACTAAACAAATGTGTTAGTTCTTCACAATGTGCCTTGATATACACATAGCAAGTTATGCGTCCTAACCTGGCTGGCCAAATAGGGGTGTTACAATTCCGGGTCACTACCCCCACCCCCACCACTTCCACACGGTTGGCACATCTGGACTAACTTGATTTTAAGTTTTATAAGTAGTTTTCCCTTGGATTGTCTGCATTCTCAGCTTTAATTAAGTTATGATTTAAACCTCTGAATATTGTAAATCTGCATAAATAAAGCATCCATTAAACACTAAATATTCACCCCCAAATCCATCTTTCTTATTTTTAGCTCAGGATCGCTGGATCAGTTTATGCTGCCGTATGTTTGGCTGTAATTGTTTCATTTGCGCCTTTCTGTTCAAAGCCCGCAAAGGTGGCGCACCGGGCACGCGCACAAACTCCGAGCACACACAAGAAAATGAAGGTAGAGCGTTCAACTAGAAACAGTTTTCATTCACCCAAGCAACCCACTCCTTTTTTCTTCTTCTTCTTTTTTTTTTTTGTCTCCAGATAAATAGTTCACTATAAACCGGCGAATAGAACCGGCGCATGTTGGGTATAATTAATAGAAATGAATTAGAGTCTAATCAAATATTGCTTAATAGACCGATTTCACTTCTACTATATAACTATTTTACTGTAGATCCTAGAAGGGGTTAAAAAAAATAACATGATTTGCGCCGTGAAAGCTGCGGAGGAAGACTAAAAGTGAAAAGGGAGCCTCGGGCACAAGGAAATTACCCGGGCCCGCGTGACCTTTGGGTGAGGTAATCAATCAAGCGATCAACAGGGATATTTATCACCGCTATGTCAAACCTTTTCCTGGAAGCAAAAATCAAATATACAAACGAGAAACCAAAAAGATCTATTACTATTATTATTATTATTATTATTATTATTATTATTATTATTATTATTATTATTATTATTATTATTATTTTGTTATATTATTATTTTGTTATATTATATATTGTTTAATAATAATTTGATCAGTAACTTCAAGTCTTCCTTTTCTTACTTATGTGGGTTTAACAGAAATACCGACAGACTCCATTTGCAGTAATGACCAGGCCTGCTGCCGCTGTGTGCAGAAAGAACCTGCTCAAACAAACGCGGCAACTTGCAGTGATCGAATGAGAAACACTAGGCTACCCCCACCGCAAGTCTTAATGAATGGGCCATATTAAGCAAGGAAAAAGATCGTTTGTGATTCCCTCAGTTAAAACCAAATTCTTTCAAAGCAAAGCGACTGGTAGAAATCAGACCAATATTTATAATGGCAACTGGATCTCACATTCATTTAGTTATTTTTTAGATTGAGTTACTTTGGAGATTTTTAACAGCCTACATTATAAATGATTAAAAAGAGCTGAGTTAACTTAACAATCCATTCTAATTATAATTGTTTTATTCAGAGTTATTTATATTGCTAAACAATAAACGAAAATAAGGGTTATAAAATAATCAATTAAAATATGTCTGAGCTGTTCCTTTTATGTTGTCATACATCAGCCTGTGAACAAAGAGAATATCATAAACGCTTTAAGCATCATTTTTTCATTAAAGATGATCACTGAATTCCAAGTGTTCTTGCATCAATTCCCCGAGTAAAACGACATATATGATAAGCATATTAAAGGTTACATATTTGCAAATCAAATAAACCAATTCTGTGAACATTATTTGAAAACCAACACAAAAAACATTAAATAAACAGAATACATGTTTTATTAAAAAAATTATCTGCTTGAAAATAACATTATAAGCTTATATAAATATATATTGTAAGCAGAAAACAAAACAGGTATATTGAATTTACCTTTACAACATAACCCCAACACCCACCCCCAAAACATTCCAGTACATAGTGTTTAAATCGTTTCAGTAAAAATAATAATAATAATAATAATAAAAAAACAGAAAACATTATTTTGATACCGAGTTGAATGATTACATTTTTATTTTCTATTAGTTCCGTAACTGAATTAACGTGTCAAAAAAAGAAAGAAGTCAATAAGAATTCATTATGTTCTACCGCCCCCTTGTGGATATCTTTTGGCGGTGATGGAGCCTTTATTTAGATTGCAGGTCTTGCAAGCGTCATAGGAGTCCAAGAGCTGCAAAAAATCAACAGACATGAGAGATTAACGATTTTCACCATCATATCTACACCAGAGCTGGGAATAGTAAAATCTTTTTTTTTTTTTTTTTTGAATAAAACGTGGTTTTACATTAATAAAAATAATAGGCTTATACCCTTAAAAGAGTATTCGGGAAAAATAAAAATTCTAAAAATGAAGGGAAAATTGGAAGCTACAAAAAGAACAGCTGTGTAAAAAGAAGTTAGCTATTGGGTAAAAAATTATAAAAATCTAGTCACAATATTTGTCACATGTGACCTCCGATTTTTGCAATTTCAATGGAAATATTCAAACATTCACTCATAAAAAGAGGGAATAGAACACGATGACAGGGACAGATTAGTTTGGTGGATTAATGAAAACAATTCAGGACCTTTCCAATCGAACCCCTAAAGCTACAAGAGCCAGTACATTTAATATGGAGAATGTCAAACTGCTGTTATTTCAAAGCCATTTTCTCTCTACAAATTTGAATTTACAGACACAGTGCCAATGTTTGTTGTTCTAAATAGCTTTTGAATGGAATAAGATTTTGGATGATAAGTGAATTGTTAAATTATTTTTTACTTTAAGCACTGTCCTGATATTAAAGGTTTTTATTTATTATTAAAGGTCTAGGTTTTGAGACAAAGTTTTTTTCTTGAAATTTTGAAAATTGTAAAAAAAAAGAAAAGAAAAAAAGAAAAGAAAGAAATGTGTCACCAGTGTCTTCAAAAATCTATTTATGTAAGTTCAGTCTAAATGCATGGGTAAAAATCAGTGGGTTAATAAATGTGGCCTTTTCCAATCAAAGAAGCAAGCCACAGTTTTTACAGCTGTGTCCATAATGGAAAACAGATTGTGATGCGCACCTAAGACAATTTGTGGAAGTAGTATTGATAGGGTCCATGCTTGCTTTTGACATATTTATCTCAGAGGACTGCTTGATGAGATGTTTTTAGAGCCTTTGACCAGTAATTGATGGAGCAGTCGTACTGGGTTATTTACTCCCATTTCCAGTAACAGAAGACAGGCGGATCATGTCAAGTTCCCGGTTGCAAGGCAATTAAAGGGCAATACAAATGGATGGGATGGTTAAGAAACCCTAGTAAAATGCTGGCCAATACCAAAGTGTCTGTGACTGTTTCTTGGCAGTTTGTACTATAATGTACAAACAAGTAGTTATTTTTTGGATATATTTTATTTTTTGTTGTTGATGATTTAGGGTTTGTCGTTTTTACAGATGAATCCGTGACAAACATGTTCAAATAAATATGCTCATTAAACGATCCGATACGAAGTAAATACAGCTTCAGTATCAGCGATACAGATACTATATATTATATTGTATTATATTCAAAATCAATGTATCATGAAACTTTTGAACTTACCTTTGAAATTGAAATTTTGAAATTACTCCATGCAATCAGAGGCTGTTGTGATAACCTCAGGAACTAGGAACAAATATTCAGACAGACCAACCAGAATGAATTTTTACAATTTTTCCTTATTTTTAACAAACGAACACAACGAACGGCTGACGTCATTGGGGCTGATAACCAGATTCTGTGCAGAGATGGAAAACACAGGTCAGTGACTGGAATGTTGGGCTGATAACGAGTTGGTGATAAA